GTCCTCGACAGTCGACACGTTAAAATGTCAGTGAGTTGAAGATCTTCATGAATGTGTTTTAGCAATGTGTGAAACAATAACACCTGGACCTAGAATAACTATTTTCAATTTTTGATGTAATATTTGTGAAATCTGTTACAGTATGTTCTAATACAAAGAAATTATATTAACACCATACATGCAAACACTATTATTTGGGAAAGGAAAAATCTGCAGACAGCAAACAGAGGTTTTGAAAGACATGCCGATGAACTGTGGTAGTGGTAATCAGCAGATGAAATAGCAGTGAAATGAATACTTGAAGCCAGACTCTGATCTGAGCAATTTATTTTTAGCCAAACTGCTAAAACATTTCTCTCTGTCTGCCCAGTCCTGCCAAAAAAGCAGGTGCCGTTACAGGTGCAACCTCTCTCTCTCTTACTCATTATCTCTAAACACAGACAATCTAGGCCTAGCTCTCTCTGTCTCTCACTTTTTCTCTCTCTGCTTTTTCTCGTTTTGCTCTTGTGTGTGTAATCCATACCTGAATGCGCGCCAGTCGTGTCTGCAAGCACCTGCGTCAGCTGGCCGTGCAAAACAACACACTCCACACTCTCCTCCACAGTCAACAGCCTCTCTGAGCAAAGCTGAATCCTACTCACACAAATGTCAGCCCCAATAAAAAGCCACACAGTGAGGGTGGTACACCACTTTTTTTATGTAGTAGGTTACTATATTTGAATAATATTGTAAATGTATGTAGCTAACTTGATAATTGATTCATTCCAAATTTATATGGTTTTCTTTCTTACATGTAAGAATATTGGATGGCCTGAAGGTAAGTTAAAAACAAATTTTCATTTTTGGGTAAACTATTCGTTTAAACATAACAGGAGATATTTAAAAAAAAATTAAAATCGCTAGTTTCCATACAATGACAATGGATGGGAATTTTGTGCCATAAAAGTGCCATGTGAAGATGTATTTCACCAAGTTTAACATCATTTACATTTACATTTTCATGGGCACTTATAACAGAGCTACAGATACCTTTTGCATAGCTGAGGTAATAGAATAATTGAAGAATTATACGCATTGCTCAGCCTTTCAGTGCCAATGCACAACAGTGAGGCCAACTGCAATCCAAAGTTGATTTTTTTTTTGTGTGTTTCAGCAGGAAATGAGCTTGCTCAATATTCAAATACTCGGCTAGATCTTGCTGTAGCAGTTGCAGCGTGCTTCACAAACCCTCCACCTTCCCCAGCTCCACCTATATCTGCTACAGGGTGATTCATGTATGCTATATAAGGGTTATTCATATATGTTATATGTGCAGCAGCAGTATTTCTTACATGCTCACAGCAGCATGCTGTGTATTTATTGGCAGTAGCAAGTCTTGGTACTTGCTCTGCTGCAGCAACAGGGTAGCATATCTATTCCGCCAAGACCAAACACATTAACATTGTACATTACCATGCCAGTCCCTCCGAGAGTTGTCAGAAATACAATTAATTTGTTTACTTGGTAAATGAAGCTAAGCTATCACATTATCTAGTACGACTTCACAAAAACTTGTCAGGCTGAAATGTTTGCATGACATTATAAAGTAGTAAAGTAATGGATTCCAAATTGTGAGGACTAATTGACTAACTGATTGGAGAAAGCCATCATATTTCACCAGAGAGAAGTGTCAAAATAAAGTAGTTACTATGTCAAAAAAAAATAAACATATGGACAAATAGTTCACAATAACATCATTAAAATGAATGAAAATACATCCATTTCATCCTGACTGAAAAAGAACAACTGTTTCAGTCTAAATAGAACGAAACGTTTCAAGTGAGTTCATATGCACTTAGTGATAGCTAACATCATTGGTTCTCAGATGTCACATGACTGATCGCATTGTTTTACGAGAAAGTGATAATGACATGAATTATGACTTGTCACTTACTGTCTATGGACAGCAGCAGCTCCACAGACATTCTGCTAAACATCTCCTTTTGTGTTCTAAAAAAGAAATTAAAGTCATACAGGTTTAGAATGACTTGAGTGAATAAATGAAGTCAAAATTTATTTAATCCAAAAAGAACCATCAGCTATGTGTGCTGAAATTGCTCTGTGCGGTGTGAGTCTCATGCTACGACATTTGTAAATGTTGAAGCAATTGAGTGAGAGGTTATTATGACCCAGTCGGTCAAGCTGACCCCTGGCTCATGCCAAAAATCAACTGACCTTTGCCTAAAATAAAAAAGAGAGACAACAGAAAGATAGAGCGATCGCATCTTTTAAGATGAGCTACGTCACTCTATCACCAGTAAACACCTGCAGAAGTGCTGCAGGCTCAACAGAGCTGTACGTGTTGTCATGGCTACGGGGGCGTGTGATCAAGGAGCATGTTGTGTTGAAGGGCTATTATTATTTGGCTGACCTGTAAACCACAGACGGGTTGGTGCTCTCCATGCAGTTTTGTTTTTGAGAAAAATAAACTACAGTGAAAACGGTTGAACTCTACACTGCACTATATCGCACTAGCCCCAAACAATGCACAAAGGGGCCCGGACAACTGTGCATCATTTAGACTATTTGGTAAGAATATAAACGTCATAGTCTGAAAAAGCTCCTGTCTCTCTCTGTTCCTTCCATACGTCCCAAAGTTTCCTAGAGTAGGGTTTAACTTTGGTTGTTGACATTGAAGGGACATGGACTACCAGCAGCGGAGAATAAATTGGACAGAAATTATATTTGAGTTTTGTTATGTTCTGTTCCTTTGCAAAGTGCATGGCAAAACTTCTGCCAGCCACTGGCACAGCTTGTGACTGAGAACAGAGTGTGGCATACCGCTGCCCCTGAGGACCCATGTACCAGAAACACACGACTGCGCAAAACTGCAGTCATACGCCTGGACACAATCAACACAATAACAGGCTTTCTGCTCATACCAGGGGGTTTAGTAGTGGAGGAATAAATACAGAGATTGTTTTTCTCTTGCTATATCTTTCGTTGGCGTGTGTAAGGATGATGTCATAAGGCACTGATCTGTCCGGATAGACTCAGCCGCTGGTGTCAGGAACTTGTAGTGTTTATCTCATTGCTATGACTCAAGGTATGTGTGTGCTTTGTCCTCAGGTCTGTACTTTCTGTTCTCTGAAATGTTGTTGACTAAGACTGAGGCAAACACACACACACTGACCAACAAAGAGAGAGTGTGTGACCTGTCTGTCGATTGATCTCTCTATACATCTACCTATCTGTCTGTTTACTGTACCTGCCTGAATGTCTGTTTATCACCTGTCTATTACATGTCTATCTATCGTCTGTCTATCTATCATATATCTGTCTACCTATCATCTGTCTATCTCCTCTCTGTCTATCTATTGCCTGACTGTCTATCACATGTCTATCTATCACCTGTCTGTCTATCACCTATCTGTCTATCACCTATCTGTCTATCTATCGCCTGTATATCACCTGTCTATCTCCTGTCTGTCTATCTATTGCCTTACTATCACCTCTCTGTCTATCTATCACCTATCTGTCTATCTATCGCCTGTCTGTCTATCACATATGTATATTTATCGCCTGTATATCACCTATCTATCTATCTATCTATCTATCTATCTATCTATCTATCTATCTATCTATCATCTATTCCCTGTGTCTATCACCTATCTGTCTATCTATAGCCTGTCTATCACCGGTCTATCTCCTGTCTGTCTATCTATTGCCTGTCTGTCTATCACATATATATATATATATATATATATATCGCCTGTTTATCACCTGTCTGTCTATCTCCTCTCTGTCTATCACCTCTCTGTCTATCTATCACCTATACGTCTATCTATCTCCTGTCTGTCCATCTATTGCCTGCCTGTCTATCACTTGTTTATCTATCACCTGTCTGTCTATCTCTCACGTGTCTATCTATCGCCTGTCTGTCCATCTATTGCCTGTCTGTCTATCTATTGCCTGTCTGTCTATCAACTATCTGTCTATCTATCACCTGTCTGTCTATATATCAGCTGTCAATCTATCACCTGTCTATCTATTGCCTGTCTGTCTATCTATTGCCTGTCTATCTGTCACCTGTCTATCTATCTCCTGTCTGTCTATCACCTGTCTATCTATCGCCTATCTCATTCACCTATCTGTCTATCTATCGCCTGTCTGTCTGTCACCTATCTGTCTATTTATCGCCTGCCTGTCTATCACCTATCTGTCTATCTATCACCTGTCTATCTATCTCCTGTTTGTCTACCTATTGCCCGACTGTCTATCACCTATCTGTCTATCTATCTCCTGTCTGTCTATCACCTGTCTATCACCTATCTGCAGTGCTTAATTTGTAAATGAATAATTGCCTGTTCCAAAACAGCAATTAAAAGGCACTGTGACCGACACTGAAAATACAACTTAAGTTTTCCCGGAACATTCAATGACGTCACTAAACGGTGATGCCACAATTATAAGAGTTATTATTTTGAATTATTTTGAGTGTGCAAAAATAAAAGTAAACACTTTGTGCTTTTGAATTAGGCTATGTCTTACTCTTATCTGTATGACCAAAAATTATGTACTTTATGTTTCAGCTGTTCGATCGCGCTGGTGCTTTGCGCACTCACACACACACACACACACACCACATATTCGCAACTCAGACTTGACATCGCAGTCTGTTCATTATCAAAATAAAATACAGTCAACCAAAAATATAAAAGGTTACACTGGTCAATTTAAATAGTCCGTGGTATAACTGGTCCACTTTGTATGCCAAGCACATTTTTGCTCATGTGAAGAAGATATTCTATCGATATATGAACGCGCGTGAAGAACAAATCCTCTACATTATAAATAATAGTTTCATTCAAATACATCATGAATATGGAAACATTAGGATTTGTGCCGAATGAGAGGTACGTGAGCCCAATTAACGCCTGGTACTTTCAGTTTCGCTTTGTTTTGGTTTCTTTAGGTTTATATACTGATACTTACCTTATTGATACTTACCTGGCAGGAGAGACACCATGATCAAGAAGGTGGTTCACCCAGGGTGAGGCTCGGCCATTGCACTCCGGTTGTGCTGACCCCTGCGAGTGGGGGGATGCGTCGGACTGTAGTGCAATTGATCTGTAACGTGATTGGATGAGTATCTACAGATTTTTTGACATGTTTGATTTATTTGTTTCAGATGTATATGGGTATTAGCAAGTCAGTTTTGTGTCAGTTTGCACATGGTTGGAGAGTGATTTTTTGATTAAATGTGTTGTTTGTTCATAATGTGTTTGTATTATATTGTTTATATTCATTCTATATTTATTGTTCATTTTTATTTTGATATGTTTATTGATTTCATGTAAATGTAAGAGATTTGAACTCAAATGTGCTTGACAGTTGTTGTTGACTATGTATCGCCTGTCTGTCTATCGCCTGTCTGTCTATCATCTGTCTATCTATCGCCTGTCTGCCTATCTACCGACTGTCTGTCTATCTATCATCTGTCTATCTTTCGCTTGTCTATCTATTGCCTGTCTGTCTACCACCTATCTGTCAATCTATCTCCTGTCTGTCTATCTTTCAACTGTCTGTCTATCTATTGCCTGTTTGTCTATCACCTCTCTGTCTATCTATCTCCTGTCTGTCTATCTATCGCCTGTCTATCTCTCAGTCACTTGTCTATCTTTCGCTTGTCTATCACCTGTCTTTCTATCACCTGTCTGTATATACAGTATATCCATCCGTCTGCCCGTTTGTCTAACTATATTGTCCATCCATCCATCCATTCATTTATTACAATTGAGTACTCTTTTATTTTGTATATGAGATTACTATTGAAGAGTTGTTACCCCTGTTACTAAAAGAAGAATAATGCAGTTATTCTTATACTTGAGATATTATGAAATGTCAAAAATGATTCAAATATCAAATCTCTAGTTGGAGAGTGATTTTTTGATTAAATGTGTTGTTTGTTCATAATGTGTTTGTATTATATTGTTTATATTCATTCTATATTTATTGTTCATTTTTATTTTGATATGTTTATTGATTTCATGTAAATGTAAGAGATTTGAACTCAAATGTGCTTGACAGTTGTTGTTGACTATGTATCGCCTGTCTGTCTATCGCCTGTCTGTCTATCATCTGTCTATCTATCGCCTGTCTGCCTATCTACCGACTGTCTGTCTATCTATCATCTGTCTATCTTTCGCTTGTCTATCTATTGCCTGTCTGTCTACCACCTATCTGTCAATCTATCTCCTGTCTGTCTATCTTTCAACTGTCTGTCTATCTATTGCCTGTTTGTCTATCACCTCTCTGTCTATCTATCTCCTGTCTGTCTATCTATCGCCTGTCTATCTCTCAGTCACTTGTCTATCTTTCGCTTGTCTATCACCTGTCTTTCTATCACCTGTCTGTATATACAGTATATCCATCCGTCTGCCCGTTTGTCTAACTATATTGTCCATCCATCCATCCATTCATTTATTACAATTGAGTACTCTTTTATTTTGTATATGAGATTACTATTGAAGAGTTGTTACCCCTGTTACTAAAAGAAGAATAATGCAGTTATTCTTATACTTGAGATATTATGAAATGTCAAAAATGATTCAAATATCAAATCTCTATCTATCTATCTATCTATCTATCTATCTATCTATCTATCTATCTATCTATCTATCTATCTATCTATCTATCTATCTATCTGTCTGTCTGTCTGTCTGTCTGTCTGTCTGTCTGTCCGTCCGTCCGTCCGTCCGTCCGTCCGTCCGTCCGTCCGTCCGTCCGTCCGTCCGTCCGTCCGTCCGTCCGTCCGTCCGTCCGTCCGTCCGTCCGTCCGTCCGTCCGTCCGTCCATCCATCCATCCATCCATCCATCCATCCATCCATCCATCCATCCATCCATCTATCTATCTATCTATCTATCTATCTATCTATCTATCTATCTATCTATCTCTGTCCGTTCATCCATCTGTCCATCTATCTGTCTGTCTGTCTATCTACATTTCAGATACAGGCAATCAGATTTATTAATATATTACTGTTTTAACCTGTTGATTTTTTATCACAAGTGTCATATAATGTGAAACAACTGTTTGCCATTCAAGCTCATCATGCATTTGTTATGAATGCATATGTTCGTAAATTTTAAAACGATAAAAGGAATACAATCTAATGAAATAAAGCACCTGTCTTTTGAAAAGGTGAAATACAGGGTGTCTTCAGCCTACACTGAAATATTATAACTTTGTGAGTAATTCTATATGAGCTGTTAAGCCTCACACTGTCCTGTCTGTGTTCCCTTTCGTGTCCCCTCGTTGATCCCGTGCAGGTGTGCAGTGATGCCCCTTAATTAACTTGGGAAGTGTTTAAGATACACGATGTTCTCTCCAGACATGAACCAGATCCTCGAGAGCACAACAAGGAGAGAAGAGTAGGTGGAGGAGGAAAAGTGATAGAGATAAATACAGGCTAACAGAACAGTGTCATGCTCACATAGTACATATGACCTCAATCAAAATCTATGAACACTTTCACAACAATTAATTTGACTTGTAATTAAAATCAAGCAGATTAGGTAGTAATTGATTTTATCACTTATTATAACAAGCAAATGGGATGATGATGATGAATTGTGTGTTCATGAATATTAATGTATATGTGTCAATATGACCCTCCATATAGCTGTACATGTGTATGAGTGACAGCTCTCTCCGGAGAGCCCCTTTCATTCTCCTCTCGTCTCCCGGCCGGACACTACACTCCCTTCCTTCATTGCTTGTCCATCTCGTGGGAGGGGAATCAATTATTTTTTTAATAAGAGTTCCAATTAGTTCTACGCACATTGTACTAAATATAAGCCTTATTGTCATGATCTAATAAGCAGAAGGCCGGAGTTTGACCCCTGTCAGATGAGCGCTGGGTGTTGCGTTAAGGCCCTCATAGCTTTTGAACACCGAGTACAATTCATTACAGAGACCCAGTGTAACGAGACAAGCCCACCACACGTCAACACGAGGCCTGTCAACCCCACTGGCATGGGGAAGGAAATTATTTGGTAACACTTTATTTCGATAGTCCACTTTAGACATTCTATTAACAGTAAGTAACTTTGCAACTACATGTCAACTAGCAGTTAGTAGCGTATTAGTAGACCGTCTGCTTAATATCTTCTAACACTTTCTTTGTCAACTTATTCAGTCTATACCCAAACAGTCTACTCTGAGAGTTAGTAGACATGTAGTTGCAAATTAATGAGAATTAGTTGACAAGTAGTTGACATGTAGTTACAAAGTTATTTATAGTTAATAGAATGTCTAAAGTGGACTATCGAAATAAAGTGTAACCAATTATTTTTACCTTGTCAAGTGGGATCGTGAAAGTTTGTGTGAAATGTGTGTGTAGAATGACAGTGTACGACTGACAGAATGTCCCCTCCTTAGTAATTGACTTGTATGCTCTGCACTATAATCAAATTACACACTTCACCTTAAACAATAACAGAAGAAAGATTTCTTGGCATATTTGTTAGAATGACAGATCTGGGGTCAAGTCAAGTTAAGTCATCTTTATTTAAATAGCGCTTTATGCAATACAGGTTGTGTCAAAGCAGCAGTGTTAAATAGGAAAATAGTGCATCGATAATGCAGGAGGACAATAGTAAACAGGGGTAAGATACTATGTTCATTTATGAGGGGACATTGTTATTGTTATCTAAAATTTAAACTAAAACATAACATGCTAAAAAAGATTAACAATTGATTTTAATTTAAATAAAGCTGAATTAAAATAGAAATAAAAAATTCTAATAAAAACAAAATATACAAATATATTGTTCAAAATATGAATAAAAAAATAATACTAATATATCAAAGATTTACACAGGAAATATTAATTGTTGGTCAATGTACACATGCAGACAAATTTTTGGCATCTCATTATTATTATTATTATTTTCAGTGTCATGGCACGGCTTTTTCAACAGTATATATGTCCAGTTAAAAATAGTTCAACTTTTTAAATATATTTCTAAACATTAATAGTTTCAATAAATAAATACAATAATATATTAATAAGTAATAAATAATTTCATATAAATATTTATATCATATTTATAAAAGTGCACTTTTGATTGCCACACATTTTAGTTCCATCTAAAAGCAGACTTTGCTTTAAAACACTACCCTTTATGCTACTTGCCCTGTGTGAAGGGCGATGGTAATCTTGATTCAAAATACTGCTCTTCAAATTCACAGAAATGTTGTTTACAATACATGTAATGCACACATAAACTAAAAATTGAAAGGTACTTTGTAAACCTTATATTCAGAATCTACAATCATTATGGATTTTACGAACATCTGTGCATGTAAACATAGTCATCTATCTTGACTAGACAGTTATGTTTCTGCATGTTATTAAGGAATTCGGTGTTCTAACAGGACAATGTTCACAGAACAGATCTGCTCTGTTCTGCCATGCCCTGCCCACACAGACCCGCTCTATTCCTCCAGTGTCTTTAGTGTAAGCCCTGCTTCTCACTAGAGCTGCACACACATATATCAGATAAAAATCTCTGCGGTTTCCAGCTCTTTTGAGTCCTGCTACACTCTGACTCAAAGTCTTTCTGCACCACACAAGAATCAGATACTGGCATGAATGCGTGGGCCTCAGAGTGTTCTGGTGCTGCGGCACAAAAGTCCTTTTTTTAGAGCACCTTGACAGACGTCAGCGCTAACGCACACCATATCCATGTTGCGCAAAAGATGAAAACTGAGAATAAATGTAAACAATCAGAAGAGGTGAACCATTAAGAGCTACTTCATTCCGACTAAAGTGTTTCTGAACAGAAACATAACCTTTTTTTTAAGGAAAACATGGTTTGTCTGGTACTAAATTATGACAGTTCAAAAATATATCTTTATTTATTGCACATTGCTGGAACATATGAAAGCTTGTTTCCGCTATTGGTTAAAAATGTTTTTTTTAAGTACCTGCAACTTTTTATCACAATTCTGATGTTTCCTCACCATTCTAAGTTCATATCTCACAATTCAGAGTTTTTCCTCGCAACTCACAAATGTGAAATATAAAGCCAGAATTTAAAGATATAAACTCGCAATTCTGAGAAAAGCAAATGTCAGAATTGCAAGATGTTAACTCACAATTACGAGATTATAATTCAAACCTGCAAAAGAAAATTCGGAATTGTGAGATATAAAAACAATTTTTATTTATTTATACATGATAGGTAGATAGATAGATAGATAGATAGATAGATAGACAGACAGACAGACAGACAGACAGACAGACAATAGATAGATAAGGCCCTTTCACACCGCTTTAGTTCCAGAACTAAATGTACAGTACTAAAGTACTGGGACGATTTTGCACGAACTATTTCCCAGTACCATTTAAAGGGTTGCATTCGCATAGAGAGTGTGTACTAAGAAGTGACGTAAGCCAGTCGACAGCGACGTCATTTGTGCGCGGCGTTCAACAACAGAAACAAAGAACTACGTTAACAACAGGAGGATGGAGGACGCTGTGATCGGAGCTGTGTTTGTTGTGTCATGTGACATGGAATGTCGACGTATACGTAAAGCGATTGAAAGAATGGAAAGGAGGATTAAGAATCTCCAACGACAACTGGCAGTGCTACATTTGTTACAAGTGCCTGCACTTGTTTCCGCTATTGGTTAAAAACGTTTTTTTTTTAAGTACCTGCAACTTTTTATCACAATTCTGATGTTTCCTCACCATTCTAAGAGTTTTTCCTCGCAACTCACAAATGTGAAATATAAAGCCAGAATTACGAGATTATAATTCAAACCTGCAAAAGAAAATTCGGAATTGTGAGATATAAAAACAATTTTTATTTATTTATACATGACAGACAGACAGACAGACAGACAGACAGACAGACAGACAGACAGACAGACAGACAGACAGAGACAGATAGATAAGACAAGATAAGATAAGATAAGATAGATAACTCAATTATTCTTCTTTTAGTAACAGGGGTAACAACTCTTAATTAGTAATCTCATATACAAAATAAAAGAGGACTCAAATGTAATAAATGAACTGTGTAAATAACTTAATTCTTCATTTTGCGTCATGACAAACTCATATAAAAGTGTGGAGGAAACTGAGGAAAAGGTATTGGTGTGAAAAAAAGAAACACCGACTTGGAATTCAAGTGATGGCTCTGTTGCGGCCACATTATTAGCAGTTATTAGTGTGCTTTAAAACAGCATGTACATGTTCTTTACTTGGTCCAGAAATTGATTCAATGGTCAAGACTTTGTCAGTCTTCACATAATGTGATACAATATGTCTAAGTGGGAAAAATAGAAACATTAATGTCCCGAGTGATTTAATCATCAAAATGATCAGAATCTAGTGTGGCAGAAAAATTAGATTTTACATTTATGACGCACAGGTTTAAAAATGCTTCAAATCCACTCCAAGCCACGTAAAATGTCAATGCCATATTCAGCCTAACGCATTATCTGTGCATGCTTGTATCATATGCCTGAGTGTATTTTAAGAGCCAGCCCTAAGTCTGTAATTGCACTTAATTTGGTCCACCATTATTCAGTTACTGTTCCTGCTTTTGTGTTGGGTAAACATTGAAATACAGCAAATTGTTTCACAAAGCGAACACACAGATGCTCTAAACACAAGTGAGGATAGTTAACATAAACACAAATTTTTCAGACAAGGGGTCACTGGAGGAAAGGTCACCACCGGATTGTTGATTCACATGTAAATATATAAAAATGTGACTGTTACTTCCCAGTCTAGTTCGACAGCTACTGTATGTTTGTATTTTCTTGCCAGATGTTATCCATTTACTTCGGGCAAAAACATGCTGCTGCTATTTTTCTTTGAATCATTATAATAATAATGAATAATAAAGACACTTCTGGATTAAAAAAAAAAATGTCTGCATAAGAATTGAATATATGCACAGTACCACACAGAAATGTCTGTGAACATTTTCGAGAAATCATTCAAATGCACCTGAATTTAGATGCCATTTTTGCAAATGAATTCAAATCTTTATGAAATGTTGTTTATACTTAGAATGCAATATTATAAGTTATAAGTCACTGGCTGAGTGTCGGGACGCAAGTAATCACACTACAGAAACTTAAAATTAAAAAAATATATATTGAATGATTTAATCTTAAAAGAACTCTTTTTATCATTTCATGCTGCCATTATGAAAAAGGGCATTAGTATTGAGGCTATTTATAGAGCGTGCTCTGCGCCCAACTCACACTCTTCACGTGAGCACCATGCTGGAGAGCACCGTCTTACAGGTTTCTGAGAGCATCTAAAATCCTCTGAATATCTAGGAAGAAAAGAGTGCTTGAAAAGAATGAATGAAAGAGTGAGTGTTTGGGCTTGAAAAATAAGTTTTGATTATTTTTATTTAAAGGAATAAGTAAGACTATAAAGAGAGTCTCCTGAGAGAGCGACTGTGCGTTAAAAAAAGATTCTTCCCTTTGTTCATTTGGTTTTCTGTGTCGTTTTTATTTTTTATCCTGTGGTCTACCAGTGCTTAAAAGAGAGCTGTCTCATCTTAAAGGGGTTATGAACTGCCTTTCTTTTTTATTTTGAACTGTTCTCTGAGGTTTTTACATCATAATTTATAAGTAATAGGCTATTTTCTTTCCTGTTTTTAACCCCCTCATCAGAATGCTCTGTTTGAATAGGTATAGCAGATTGTAGACTCTGAAGTAAATACCCAATGCTGTGATTGGCTAACACTTGTGTATGTTTGACAGTCTACGTCCTTCACAGGTGGATGCTACTGTGATTTAGGTTAAAAACGCATGAATACTCAGTTACATATCAAACGATAGCAGACAAAGCAATAGTGATCATATAATGAAAACATTTACTCACACTTGTGTGGTGTGACATCGTATCCAACGTGATACGAACAAAGTTCCAAGTTCTTACTAACGCTGTCTGGAACTGGAAAGTTCATCAAATACAGTTTATCACTGGTTTCTTCGTAGACCTGCGTTTGCCGCTCTCGTAATTTACCTACTACCTGCCTGAATCGGTGGGCGGGGCTAAACAAGCAGCGACGTAGAATCGGTGGGCGGGGCTAAACAAGCAGCGACGTAGAATCGGTGGGCGGGGCTAAACAAGCAGCGACGTAGAATCGGTGGGCGGGGCTAAACAGGCAGTGACGCAGAAGCAGGCATGATCTTCTTCAGCAGAGGCGGAGTTTAGCCACACTATTACATCATAGAGTAGAACATTCCACAAGCTGTCGTTTTGGCAGACTGTTTTTAATATAAGCTGTTTTTAGACTAACGAGAAAGTTTTGAGTTCTAAAACTTACAGAATGTGTTTATAGCACAATGACGTCTTATATATCAAAAGATCAAGGGAATGACCATTTTAAAGAGTCTTTTAAATGATGGACAGCTGAATTGCATTTACTGTAGCCCACACACATTCTAGCATATAAGATTCTTCAGCGCTCCAGTAACCTGTTTTAACACCTAAGCACTCATTACTCCCCCACAATGAGCCTGTCTACCTGAGGGAATTGTAACGGTGACTACTGAAAGAATAAGAGAGGCCTGACAATAATCAGTTACTTTCTTAATACTCATTTCTCATGCACATTATTACACAGAAAGAAAAAAAACTGAAAATAGCTCGCTCCGTACCTGAACGAATTTTCCTTTTCTGCTGTGTCACTAGTTCTTCTTGAGCAGCAAATCCGCATTTTATAATGATTTCTGAAGAATAATCAGCTTTGCATCACAGGAATAAATGACATTTTTTAATATATTTGAATAGACAACAGTTATTTTTAAACTGCAATAATATTTCACAATTATACTGTTTTGCTGTATTTTTCATCAAATAAATGCAGCCTTTGGTGGGCATAACAGACTTCTTTCAAAAACCAACCCCAAACCTTTGTGTATTGTGCATGTCATATTACACAATTAAAAGGGGTTATGGATGTCATTTCACTTTGATTTTAAACATGAAACACTAACCAGAAAAAAAAAAGTGAGCGAGCAGCTAAATTACAAATCTAGCACAGCTATAGGACAGCGTTCACATAATGAAAGCACTTCATCTGTATTATTCATTTGTTCTCTGTTTTAATGTGTATAAAGGTTAATTCTGTGCCTGTGTGTGTTTCTGCAATCTCTAAGGATGTAGAGAGGTTCAGGTTTGCTACATATAAAGATATCAGATCCACCTCATGGAGAACAAACATCCAATAAGTGGAGAATAACTGGAGGATGCAGACAGTATTGAGCAGACAAACTGTCACCAGCGTCAGTATGTGTGTCTGAGAGAGGGGCATATACCTACAGTAATGCCTGCTGCATACTAATACATGCTGTGTGTGTGTGTGTCAGCTTAAACCTTTCCACAGAACCCAAGGGGATGTTTTTGTAATGGACCCTGTCTGCTGGAATGGTACTGTCCCAGACACTACATATCCAACAGAGAGGGAGAGAGAAAGGGGAGAGAGGGTTGAACGAGTGCAGGATTTCAGTTTATCAAGAGATGCTGCTGATGTTTCAGACCACAAATCAGAGCAACAGCAGCCATTAATCTCGCTCATCCATTTCATCACAGAGAACGACAAACCACCCTCAACACTGCCGTTTCTCCCCGGCTCTCTCACAACACCTCAAAATATCCACAATCTCCAATTTACCACTGTTCTTGAAATAGTATCCTCTCAGTGAATGTGTCACACTGTTCATAACGCTACATTTGACTGATATGCACTCCTAACCCCGTGTACTGTACTGCAATGTGACATGATGAACTGTGACACTCTTATTACAATCAACAGAGCTGTCTGTACTTTCCACTGATTGAGCCTTTACTGGGAAGAAAATACTTGTAATTTCAAAGACATCATATATTTTTCTTTCTTTTTTTCTTTTCTGAAAAAAAGTGTTGTTTTTTTTAATGAAAAAATATGTTTTTTAAATATGACAACAATTAAACAAAGGTTATTTTTTATAATAATAATTCTAATAATATCATAAGTTTTTAAGATATTACTGTATATGTCATTATTATAAAAAAATACAGTTTCATCAACATATCAAATTTTTACAGAAAAAAACGAAATATTTCATTATTATAAAAAACACATTGTTTTAGCAACACAATATTTCGTTGTTTCCACATAATTCAATGGGGGGGAAAAATAATATGTATGTGGCATCAATGTGCCAGCATAAATAATTTTTAACCCAATAACGTTTTAGGGTGTCATACGGTATTGTTAAAAAAATGACAAATATAATTTACATATATGATTATTACCAGAAAGATGTCATTTTAATGATGTAATATTTTGTTATCATTAAAAATATATATAGTTTAAACAACATAATCTAACATTATTATAGTAAAAGCATGTTGTTTTAGCAACAATGTTAGTATTATGT